CACCGGGCTGCTAACTCGGGGCTAGCGCAGATGCTCCCGCCAATCCCGGGCCACCTCTGAGCCTCTTGGGTTGCTTCCTCCTGTTCGTGCCTTCCTTGCCCCCGGCCGCCCAGTCCCCCCCCCCCCCTTCAACTCCTCATGCAAGAGTGATGAGTGACAAGATGTCGTTGAGATTGGGTAGGTTGAGTACCTGAACGTCTCTCCATAAACGTCTTCCCGTTTCCTTTGTTCTCTCTTAGCGCCGGCTGGGGTTGTCTTGGCTTGTGTCAGCCTCATGGAACTTCCAACGTCAATGAGGCTCTGCTCTGGCCCGTGGAACCATTCCAAGGGGGTTTAGTGCGTGATGTCTTAGTGTGATTTTGGGCTGGAATGTTTTTCCTCACTTCTCAGGAGATGAAGTGTTTGTACGGAGTACGCCGTCAGAACCTAAAATTGCGAAGGCAGAACGAAGATCGCAAGAGCTTGGGTAGGTACTTATCCTGGTGCCTGTCAAGCGACGACTATGGATGCAGGGGAAATTTGTTGGTTTGGGGCTGTCAATCTGGTCGTCACCACCCACCACTAGTCAAGGAAGGCTCCCAATCGGCAGCTTTCCACGTCGTGGCTAGCCTCGTCGTATGTCGTTTGATCACAATTTGAGATAGGGGATATTACAGATGTCTTCCACACTGTGTGTGTGGGAGAGAGATGTTGTTTCCAGGGGTCCAGTCTAGTATATTGGCGTGGTGGCAGGGGGTGATGAGAAGGAGCTGTCACTGTGACGGAGGGAGTGTCAAACGGTGGGGTGTCCCGGACGGGACGGGACGGGTTGGAATGAAGGAGGTATAAAAGGGCCTGGGGGGTCGGAATGGAGGAGGATTGACAACGGGCTTGCAGTTTTCTTGACAGCTACGGAGCAAATCTGACAGACAACGGACGCTAAGGTGAGGGCGCAACTTGACAAATTGACGAATTGTTCACTAGACAGGGAATACCGTAGCGCTGCGTACTCTACTTTTCCTCAGATCCCGGTAATTTGGATCCAGTTTTTCGACGTGTCAAATGTGATTTGAAGCTTCTTTCTGGTGTGGTAGGGAAAGAGAAACGAAGGGGGGGGAGTGAGCTTGAGCCTTTTGAGGGCCGGCGCAAACTTTACGGTGTGCTGTGAGGTTTCGCGAGATGATGGAAAAGAAAAAGTGGCACCCCGGTCACCGGTGCCCCGCTGACCGGTCAAGAAGTGGGGTCGCCGGGCGGCCAGTCATCGGCCTTTGCGTACCACACCTCGAGAGCCTTCTTCCAAGGGTCAATGGTTGTTGGCCGGTTTTTGGTCTTCGCTTTTATTTTCTGTATTCTCTTGCTCACCACTTCAAGCCTCGCTACACGCCCCTCCATCCCATATCGTTCAATTCTGTTTGATTTCTCTTTCTCCCTTTTGCACACCACCCCCTGTGATTCCTGACAGATGACCTGTATTATGCTTTTTGTGCGTTTCTTTTCTTTTCTTCTTTTTTTCTTCATCCCCCCCCCCCCATCCCAGCTCCGGAGGTTTCTGCTGGTTCTGATTTGAGAAGCAGAGTCAGAGGATGGGAGGCTACTGGCCCGGCCCGAGGATTTTGACTTCCCGCTGCAGAGTAAATCATTTCGGAACTCTTCTAATATTTCCATCCGTACTTCGTGCAGATACCTCGTGGCCAAGAAGAATGTGCCACGCCCCCCCCCCCCTTTCCCGTCTTTGCGCCTGTCTTCTTCCTCCTTCTCTCCACACTGGCACACACACGCTTGCTTAGTCTAACGTCTGAGAAATTTGGTAGAGGTTACATCAGGGCCGAGGAAGCTAGAACCAAGTATGTTCCTGGAGGGAGGGTTGAGTCAAGGCATGGGTACTCACTATCACTTACCTCACAACTACACCCATGCAAACGTTGCGAATGTGCTCATAGACCTTTAATTAAACGTCGGCGTTTGACATGCAGAACGACTGCAGACTATGGTCAAGGAAAGCAGTTTGTTTACAAATAGAAGCACCTCCTCGTCTGATTTTGAGTTTCATTGCGCATCCGCGAAAGTATGGCGCGCCGAAATAAACGGCATCCATGGATCTGCACAGCAAAGACGAGCACTGCTAACCAACGAAACCAATTTCTAGGTTCTGGGTCAAGGCGAGAGTTACTCCAAAGAGCCCTGTACGGAGCACAGATTTTCTATTTCCATCTCAGCAAGACATCTTCACAGGGGAATGTCTCGGCGCAAATCGCTGTTCATCATGGGTAAATAGTGTGGGCAGCTGTTCTCTCTCCATCGGCATGGTCTCGACGTTGACTGCCCAGTCGGAGCGATATCTCAAGGCAGGCAGGAAATATGGCGTGTTCAATCTGCACAAAAGACAAGGGGCCCGGAAACTCGTTCATCATCCGCGCTTCAGTTTCACCGAGTTGAAAGCCAATTCCCCATGCGAGGCTCGTCAGCACTTTCGCTGCCATCGCAGTCACTACCTCTGAGGCGAAGAGATATATCCCCGAAGCGGTCGTGCTCGCTCTGCCCCCACCCCTCCTCTCCTTTGTCCCGCGTCTTACCTTGCTTGAGCAAACCGCATTCTCACAGCATACCGCGTGGAAGTTGTGACACTGGCTGGATCCCGCCAACCTCGACTATACAAACCCTTGAACCCAGGTCCGGACCTCGATCCGGCAGCCGGACGGCAGCGGGCGCCAAATCTCTCCTCCCCTCCCCCCTTCTCCGCTACGGCCGGGAAGGACGTGCTGTTGCATCATGCGCGATGCACGCCCCCAATCCGCGGGAACTTTTCTCTCTTCCCCTTTCTTCCTCCCCGCTCCTCCCCGGGACTGAATTCGTTGTTTTCGTCGGGAGTATGAGCCTCCGGACTGCCCGTCTACGAGTCAGATAGCGGGACGTGGGAGGATACCGGAAAAAGCCTCGGCTGCATATACTGCATATAACAAGAGGGCGACTTTTACATGCAGGACGTGGCAATCGATGGCCGATTACATGCGTTCTTCTTACGGCCGGAGCAGGGACAGTTGCCGAAGTACTGGACCGTTTGAGGCTTCGTCAACGTGCAAGCGGTGATATTTGGAAGCCGAGGACCCCTAGTCAGAAGGGAGTGGTGTCAATGTAGGCTGCTCATCTTCTAATCGTAGCTATGATAAGACAGAGAGAGCCTTTTCCTTGAAGAAGGACGGCTCGTGCTCGCCATGTATGCGCAACGGGTAGGACTAGGAGGTGGACTGCACGCTACGTCTTGGGCACACGTCTAATCAGACCGGAGCGCTCCGGAAAGCCAATACGAGGGTTTAGAATACAACATTCTCCTGCGCTTCTGCGGATAAGCGTGAATGATACACATGTATGTACCAGCCTGGAATGTGAGGAAAGTGCGGCATGCGAGTTCTCACTCAAGCTGGACACTTCTCTTATCCAACCCTCGTTGATGGCCTGCTCGGCTTTGTGCGGCAGATGCGTTGGCTGTGCTCGTCTCTGTCTACTGACTTGATGGGCTAGCCTTGCCTTGCTAGTAGGGTTGCAGTTCTAGTCCCATCTCACTGACTTGTTCAGCTATTCGTCAGGGGAATATTTGGTGGCAAACCCAAGCCTGAGACTGATTGAACGAGCTCTTTCTTTAGTCAATGTCGAAGCAGGCTGAATCGTACCCCTCGCTGCAAATCAGTCTACGGGCTGTTGATCTTGCCGCGCCGCGTCGAGTCTTCTCTGGCCCGGACTTTGAGGCTTAGAGGGAAGAGAATACATACCCTGGTGTTGTAACAAAGACACAGTCAACTCATGGACAGCTTCTTTGCTCTGAGCGCATTCTTAAAAGTCAAGCAAGTCATCTGTCGCCGTTTCTTACCACTTAGCCAATCGGAAAAGTTTTGAAGCTTTCTTGTGCAAACTTTACGCACTAGTAAGACTCTTCCAAACGACTGGGAGTATCTCAATGGACATTGGAAGTCGGTCTATGGCGATTCCTCGACGTACTTGTCTCAATGTTTTAGCCAAGTTATTAGACGCCACAGAGGAGACGGAACTTGGATTTTTGCACGTGGAAAGAGCCGGTGTCTTATTAATGCCCTAAAGCTGAAAAGCTCGGTGGTCCATGTAATGCCTCTGCTGTAAACACCCAAATCCTACAAACCCAACACAAGGTTTTGTGGTCAAACCATATACGTATGAGAAAACATGACAGTTAGAGAGCAAGGTTGATTATGATATAGCCTATCTACTGCGGCTACCGTGCTTTATAATCTGAGGAAACAACAAAAAGCAGCTTACTGCTGGCTGGGGGTATAAGGTGAAAAGTAAAAAGAAGGGTCGGAGTCCAGGTTCTCGATCTGACAGACGCCCTGTGGGATCGAAGCAGCGAACCCAGAAGATTGAGGCGAATGGAATCTTCTGGGAGGAATCGGAGGAGCAATCGCGCTAGGAGGAGTCGTATGAGGAGAGATCACCCGAGGCGCAATCGAACGTGGCTGGCGAAGGGGGTCGAAAGAGGCGGAAGCTTGGCGCTGGGGGATGTCAAGCTGATGGATAGCACAATCGATTGAGGGGATGGGTGAATGGTACTGAGGAGTGTCAAGCTGATGGTGAGGCGGTTCATGTTCATCGCTGACCTCATCGACGAAGAGGGCGGAGGGTCCGTACAGAAGGGCACCGTGCTGGTCCTGCTGACTCTCACGCTGGAGGTTCGCCAGATCGATGTGAGCCTGCTGAGGAGATGACGCCACCTCCACGTTGGCCGCAGTGTAAGGGGTCTGATCTTGAGATGAGACCTTCTAGGTCGTGCTCGTCGGTTCCTCCTTGTTCGCCTGGGGGTATGAAAGACCCGCATTCTGAGCAACTCGTTTCCAAGTCTCTAGTTCCTTATAGAGACGTTCGCACTCTTGCTTCAGCTTGTCGTTGGAGGCACTGAGCTCTGCTATAGCTTGCTCCGTAAGCAGCTTCTCAAGAGTCCACTTCTCGATGTTTTGCGTCTCATTCTCCTTGAGTTGATTGATGAATGTGACGGCACGCTGAAGGATGGAGCCTTTGTTCTTCTCGCAATTGGGCACAATCTTGGCCAACTCATTGATGCCTTCATTGATTGTTTCACGGCGACGGCGCTCGACTATGTTTAGGTTAGCATCTACATCGGGATCTTCTTTGATATTGCGTACCCTCTTTGTGGTTGTCCTTGCGCATCTTATGCCATTCCTCTGAACCGACGTCCGGTTTCTTAGCGGGAGTGCCAGCTGATCCAGACGAATAACGGTGCTGAGGTGGGGGAGGTTGCTGATGCTGGTGAGGTTGGTGGGATTGCTGAGGTTGCACAGACTGAAGGCCATTCGTGGGCTGAGGGACAGGGGGAAGACCCGGGAGCCCGTCCGGCGGGCTCAGGTCAGCATGGCCGAAGCCATGGTCTTGACCGTGGGTCGGATCGTTGCTCGACTGTGCAGCAAACTGCTCCTCGGTGGTAGGAGGAACATGAAGGGTGGGATACATGGATCCAAGGGCGGCAGCAGCGGTGCTGGAAGCATTGGCCGGATCAGCTGCCTCGGAATGCTCAGCAGCGGCAGCTTGTTGCAGGGCGCTGAAATCCGCGGCGGAGACACCGTTCTGGGCAGCGGCATGGGCAGCCTCGACAGCATTCTCAATGAAAGCTGCAGTGTCCACATCTGAAAGTCCTTCAGCACTGGAACGCTTTCGGCTAGGACTCATCGAATCAGACAAGTCGTCGTCGCGCTTTCGCTTCTGGCCGGGAGATGGGGAGCGGGCCAACTCCGATAAGTCAGGATGCTCACTCATGACGTCGGCCATTGTTGCTGTGGTTGAGAGTTGTTGGGGGAGACCGTGGGTTCAAATGTGAGAATGAGAGAGGATTAATAGGCGGAGCCGCGGACAGTAGACACGATCCTTTCGTCGACTCAAGCTGGATTCAGTTGACTGAAGCGGGGACTAAGTAAGATTGGTTAGCATCAATAATTCCGGAATCGCATGTGGTAAGGCCATGAAGTAGCAAGCACGAAAGGTCACGTCAAGACAAGTGAGTGAGTATCAAATGCTCCGTAAGCCGTGACGGATCGCAAAGCTGAATTTGATCGAAACTGAGTGGTGCTCTCAAGCAGCGACCGCTTCTCATGAGCAAACACTGGAGCGCTTGCTCTTCAATGCCGTGGAAGATTGGTAGCAGGAAAAGCTTGACATTGACGAGACCACAGCTGACGGCTCAACATGAGCGCTGAGATTGTCGTGGTATAGGATTTGTTTCAATCGGCATACGCCACGCTCATCAGAAGGAGATGACACTTGGTTGTATGGATTGACAGGCCGTGTCTGCTGGAAAAAGAATCGTCCTGGACAACTAGAGGATGTATTGACCGTCGGATGATGAGTTTCCATCCGGCACAATCGCTTGATTGTGGCTGGGCAACAGATCGCGAGATGCGCTTGAACAAGACAGCACCCCCAAAAATGGCGCAAATGAGGAAAAGCAATCTTTCTGCGGAAGCGTGCTTCCGTTGCAGTGCAGTGTGATAGCGATGGAAGACGATAGGGCAGACGGGAAGATCGTCAGAAAAATGGGACAGCTCGCATACCTTGAGATCATGTGCTTCGCGGCGTGGTCTGGGCGGTGAGCCAGATCACGGGTTTTGCTGGAGTTCACGTGTTGTCGGCGTGATCAAACTCGTGATATCGCGCGCCAGCGGCTGCTGGGGGGGGGCCTCGTCGGATGGAGCCCGTGTAGTTGGTTAGTAGCAGTCGAGGTTGAAAGTTGACAGAAGAGCAGGGAAACGCGTCGATTTTTTCCAAAATCGCGATTCTTGAGGATTGCCGTAGCCTGGGCAAAGGCTTGAGTTTATCTTATTATTTTTCGAGGAGGTATTGACCTGAAAGGAGCCGGTTGAGTTGGGCGTATCGGTTTGGGGGGAGCGACGGCGGGAAGCTCTGGTCACGCGGCAAAGGAGAAGGGTGAACACGTGCAAAGTGGGTGAGGCTGGAGATAAATACGCTTGAGCGAGAGGGAGGTTGTGCGCCTGACTCTTGAGGCAAGAAGGACCGAAAGCCAATCAAAGGCTGGGAATCCACACCCACTGGCGGTCGTTTCTAAGTGGGTGTCTTCTTCCCCGACTGCCCCGAGCCAATCCGCATTCCGAAGAGGGGCACCTGCCGCAACAGCGCTCCAGCCTGGGAAATGTGGTTGACCTTTGTTGCTCGTTATCGGCTTTCTTATTGTTGGCCAGCTCGACACGTCGTCTTCGTGTTAACGATGGACCGGAAGGCTACTACGAGTAAGGAAGAGTGTTGCAGGGGTAGCTTCGACCAGTCTGAAGATGTGGGCTTATCCTCCTACCTTAGCCTCAGCTACCTAGTCCGAACACCCATCTACTATGCACTTGGGTGAGGTCCTCTTCGAGTTTACGTTGCGAAATGCCGAGCCTCGTCAATCACCTGATGCTCCCGTGGGTGCCAACACGAATCACTTGACTAATGGACGGTGAGACATTCCACTTTGAAGAGAAGCACAGCAGATACACCGGCTTCGAAATAGTCTCGACCGTTGCTAGCCACCGTCTGCCTCGTTTCAGTGTTACCTCTGCCCAAGCTCTCACATCGTATTTGCTTACGGATGCTGGTTGTAGCAAGTGACAACTGAGCTGGGTCGAGCCTTGGAGAGCGGGGTTGTGGCTGGACCGAGCTCACACTCAATTCAACAGAGTCTTTACGTAATCAAACATGAGCCACATGTGTGGTCTGTGCTGAACAGCCCGTCCATGTTGGGTCTGTCACTGATGAATGCAGAGTGCTCAGAGCATGGTCCAGTGGGCGTTTGGAAAGGAATGTCGGTCTTCAAAAGGATGAGATCTCAGTAGTAGGACGGATGAATAGTAGTTACGAACGTTCAAGATATTTAAACCATTTGAGAAAATCCGAAGCAGTCTGGAAGTTTAGACACCCCATTAAGTTTCGCGAGGTAAGGTAGCTTCCCGAAAGACCAGCTCTGTTGCGGAAAGATGCCGGCCCCGCCACGTTCGGCGGCATAACGTCAATTGCTGCTAGCGGCCGTACCAGCGCACCTGTGCTCCGACCTCTCAACTTCAAGCCTCCAACGAACCCGACGCCTTTTCGCTTCTTTTCGAGCCATAACGACGACATCAGCATATGAGTTCTCTCCAACAAAAATACGACGTCAAACACGGTCTGGCACTTCGTCACCACGTCCGTGAAAGTCGCCAAGATGGGCGACCATGAGCACGCCACAATCAAGCATCAGGACCATCTCCTCCTCGTACGTCGCTGCGTCACAGGAAGCTAGCTATTCAATTCTCGCACTAACCTCCATTCCAACCGACAGGATCAACCCCTCCTCCGCCTCCCGTACGAGCTCCTGCGAAAGAACTTCCGTTCCGCCCACTTCACCGTCGAGAAGGACTCTACAGCCATCAAGACCCTGCTGAAGGAGACGGCCACGGCCTCGGTCAAGGGCAACTCATCCCCCGATGATGTTCTCCGCAATCTAGATAGCATGATCGCCCGCATGCGCGGCGTTAAGCGCAAGCTCACAGCTCACGCCGAGGAAGAAGCTCGTCTGACCCGTCAGACCGGCGCCCGTATCTCCCATCTCGGCGATCTCTACGGCATGCATTCCGTTGACGACGTCAAATATGAGGCTTGGAGCCGCGCCCGTCTCGACCGCTTGCTCGTCGATTATCTGCTTCGCCATGGCTACAATGAAAGTGCGCAGGCACTCACAACTGAGCGGAAAATGGATGATTTGGTCGACGTTGAGACCTTTGTCCAGATGAGTCGAATTCAAGAATCACTCAGAGGAGGGAGTGTGGTTGAGGCACTGGCTTGGTGCCAGGATAACAAGAAGGAGCTTCGCAAGATGGATGTACGTCTAGCTGTATACCCAACCTCGCTTGGCATCTTGACTGACCTGGTGCAAACAGAGTAATCTCGAATTCATGCTTCGCTTCCAGCAGTATATCGAGCTTGTCCGCACCCAATCCCAGCCAAAACTCCTGGAGGCCATCACTCACGCGAAGAAATACCTCGTCCCTTTCAAGGCGACATATCCGGACGAACTTCGCAAGGCTTTTGGTTTACTAGCCTATCCACCAACGGCTGCCAATGCCGTGTACTCAGACCTCTACAGCCCCGAACGGTGGAACACCCTCGCCGACCTCTTTACCCGTACTCACAACAGTCTATTGGCTCTGCCTTCATATCCCCTCCTCCACATCGCTCTCTCCTCGGGGCTTTCAGCCCTCAAGACCCCAGCCTGCCATTCTCTGAACTCATCGCATGTCGCTGCCGACGCCAATACGGCAACGAATGCCTCAGCCACAGCAGGCACGCAATCCGTTTGCCCAATATGCTCAACAGAGCTTAATGATCTTGCCCGCAACGTCCCCTACGCGCATCACACCAAGAGCTACGTCGAGCACGATCTGCTGCTGCTGCCGAACAGTCGGGCGTACGGCAAGGAGCGCCTCGAGGATTACGCAAAGAAGTCTGGCTTGTCATCAGACCAGGTCAAGGATTTGCGCACCGGCGAGGTCTACCCCATAGACAAGCTTAAGAAAGTGTTCATCACATAGTCCTTGGTATCGATGCATGCGAAGATTCATCAGGCATGCGTATTTTACAAAGGCTTCTTTACTGGTTGGGGATATCCCATACACCACCGAATATTGGAAGCGTTTTGATTCCTGGAGCGGGTTCTTCGACTATGGCGTTTTGGGGGGCGTTGCGTAGGATGTTGACACAACTCTTATACAGAGAAAAGTAGATCGTAACGGAGCGTCTACTATGAACACTATTTTGTCTATGTCTTCTGCTCATAACCCGTGATACCTGAAATCACCTCTTCGACGACCTGCTCCTTGACCTTCTCGATACTCGGCGTCACCGGCCGACTCTCCCGATCAAAAATGCGAATGTGCTGCCTCTCCGCCACGTACTCGCTGTCAGCGTACCCCAGCAGGCCGCCAATATCGGAGCTCTGATGTCCCTTGATGCGCATAATCTCTGGCGCGGCGTAGTTGACGAGCGCGCGACCGACCTCGACGGGCGTGCCGCCCCACAGCTTACCCGTGGTGCTGGGCGCGTGGAGGCGGTCCACGACGACGAGGCGGACGGCCTCCTGCTGCGCGAAGTTGCCCTCGACGTCGAGGACGCCCGCAGGGAGGAGACCCGCTTTGCGTAGGAGGGCGCTGTGGGCTCCCGCGTCGATGTAGAGCGTGCCGTGGGGCTTGAGACCGTGGATGAGCCAGAAGTGGCGGTCGCGAATGGGGTCTGTGGAGGGGAGGAAGCGGGTGTGCAGCGGGGGCTTCTCGACGGCTTGGTCTATGTGGAGGGAGGCCGTCGACTGCGCTAACGGGTCTTCGGTGTGGTCGTGGCCGTCGTGGTGGTTATCAGGGTCCTCGCCGTCTGGGGCGGCGCCCAGGTGCGGCGAAGAAGAGGAGGAGGTGTACTTTTGCTGGGCTTGGACGTAGCGGACGATCTTGACGATGTTGCCCGGGTTGGAGGAGCGGGTGATGACGGTTGTCACACCTGCTTGCGTTGCTAGCCTTGCGGCGACGATTTTGGTCATCATGCCACCGGTGCCGAGGGCGGATCCCGCTGTTGAGACTTAAGTTGGGGAAAAGGTCGGGTTAGCTTAGGTGAGACTGAGGCACCCCCTTTTCCACTACATGGGAGGGCGAGAGGGGGGAAGGGTTTCTGCCTGCTTACCGTCTGCTTGGATACTTGAAATGTCCTCAACAACCTCGATTGCCTGGGCGTCGGGGTGTGCTCTGGGGTTCTTGTCGTAG